ACTGTATGTTATAGCTCCGGATTGTGCATCTAGCCTCATGCCCTTCTGGATATCACGGTTTCTACCTTACCAGGACCCTAATTCATACTTATGTGTTTGCATGTCCTGACTCACGTCAAATATTCTGTATGTATACCGAAGGAGATACACAATGCCTGACTGGGAAGACCTCACCCTGTGTACTTCGCTATCTGTAGTATGGAGAATGCCATACTCAGCTGGGAGAGTCTGCAGCCCTGTCTTGCTCCTGGTGTAATATCAGAGCCTGTGTAGTCACCCTTCTCCACCCAGGGCTCTGGTAAGTCTCATCACTACCTGATCCTAGCTAGTGTCATTCTTTCTCCCATCATGACCCCTCAGTACATAGGAGAAGCCTTGCAGTGTGTCCCAAACCATTATAGGGATAGCACTGCTCCTCTAGCCCTCTGGGTTCTGTTATGCCAGACCTCCATTCAGTGCTGTTTTCTTCTTCCTCATCACTGGCGGTGTCAGTCTGGCTCTAGTGACACCTTGCTGGTAGCTGAACCTCCTAGGTTCTAGGACTGGCCAGGCCCTGTGCTGCGATGGAAAGAGAATCCATACTCCACCACACCCCTCTCCTGCCCAGGAGAGCAGTCTGACTGAAAGTGGAGTGGCTATTTTACTATCTGGAAGAAAAAGTTGAGAAACAAAAGTCACTGCCAAGGTGTTGGAGCAAAGTCTGTATCTCAGGACACCCAGGACCCCTTAATCAAACCTTCTAGGCTTCTTATTGTAGGAGCTAAATAACATAGGAGAACCCCTCAAACAGACATTTTTGGTAGCCGGATTCTGTTCTATGCTAGCCCCCCCAAACCCTCTTATACTGGAGCCTGCAGCTCCAGCCTTCATCTACCATCCTGTTGATGGGCTCCACTTTCCCTGTCAGATCCATAATATCAAGACTCCCAAAAGTTCCAACCTCCAGGGGACCCGACCCCTTATGGGTTAATTTAAGTGTAAGAGCTAGTTAGTAATAAGCCTGAGCTATCGGCTGAGCATTTATAAGTAACATTAAGCCTCTGAGTCAATTATTTGGGAAGTGGCTGCCGGGTATTTGGGAACAGACAAGAGGGAGAGAAACTTCTGCCTACATGTGGCACCCAAACGTTTGCCAAGAATTTCCACATAAAACCTGAGAAATCTCCAGGTGGTGATGGCGCACCTTTAATCCCAGCACTCGGGAGGCAGAGCAAGGTGGAACTCTTTGAGTTCAAGGCCAGCCTGGTCTACAGAGTGAGATCCAAGACTGGCACCAAAACAACACAGAGAAACCCTATCTTGAAAAAACCAAAAACAAAAAACCTGAGAAATCTTAAAAAAGTATTCTATGCACATGAAAACAGAGTCAAACCCAGCTTCTTGGTAACAGTCTTTTTTCCGGTAGGCTCTGTCTGCTGGTAGCATGCAGAGGTGCGGCTTCTTTAAGAGACGGCTTCCAGAATTAGTGGCAAAAACTGCATGGCTCTTTTTTTTTTTTTTGGTTTTTCTTGACAGGGTTTCTCTGTGTAGCTTTGCGCCTTTCCTGGAACT